GCTATTTGGCTGCTCAGGCGTTTCTGAGTCTGAGAATGGGGTGACCAGAGTCCCGATATCTGGGGCATTTTCTTCTATAGGCTCCTATTACCCCCCACCCCGTCCCGATTTTTCACACTTGCTGTCTGGTCACCCTATGCCGGAATGGGGGGCCTGCTGACTTTTCGCCATGGGGCCCCGCCCCTCCTCTCCACCCCAAGGCCCTGCCCCCGCAGCCAGGCTGGCAGCTGGAGACTGGCCAGGGAGCCCAGACATCTCTGGGGCACCGCTGACCCTCCTGCCCTGGGCTGCTCCCAGCTCCCCACCCCAGGCAGGTGGCGGGTCCATGGCTCCAGCTCTTGGCTTGGCCGGGGGCAAGGCAGGAGAGGAAGAGGCGGGTCGGGGCCTCGGGTGGAAGAGGTGGGGTGGGGGTTGCCAAGACTCTAATCGCACAAAACCGAACACGCTTGCCCCGCCCCCTACCCCGCCCCTTCTCGGAGGCCCCGCCCCTGCTCACTCCATCCCCCCTCCCTGCGTCGCTCGCTCTCCCCCACCCTCACTCACGCGCTCATTTTCACCGGGCTGGGGAGGGTCCCTTTTTGACCGAGTGTTCCCGTTGAAAACCGGACACCTGGCAACCCTGGGGGGGCCCCCAGCCCCCCCCCACTTTTGGGAAGGCTCCGCCGCCCCTGTTCTGAGTTCGGTCCCGTTTGGCCCGTATTCAAAATGGCTGCCCTCTCCCATGACCACCCAAGCCTCTGGCTACCCTCAGCAAAATGGCTGCCATTTCCCTACAGCCTTTGCAAGTGACAGCCAGCCTGCCTTCAGCAAAGATAGCCACCGACTCCCCTTGTTTCCGAGGGGTCTGAAGCCGGCCTGCCCTCAAGGCAAATAGTGGCTCCCTGTGAAGGGCAGGCAGAGGCCAGGGGAATATAAAGAGGCAGAGAGTGAGTCTGTCGGCCAGCAGGTTCGGGAGGCTGGGGGGTGGGAGCAGGACAGGAAGGTGTCAGGGAATGAGGGGGGCAGGAGGCAGGCCGATTGAGGGCATGCAGGGGATGGTGTGTGTGTATGTGTGTGTGTCGGGGGGGGGGCAAAGATGGAGCCAGTGGCACCAGTTAGTGGGGTGGGGGATGATTGCCCCCCCAAGACTTTCACCCTTGTGCGGGCAAAGTCCCATAGGCCACAAAGCCAGGCAGGTGGCTGTGGCCTGACCACATTTAAGGAGGGGGTCCTGCACTAAATCAGTATAGCTGCTACCGGCGTGGTCCCGAGCATCGCGCCGGCTGGCTGGTGCCAATGCCTCTGAAATGTGCGGCCAGGCCAAACGAAGCTGGGACCTGGCGCCCGGAGAGCCGGGGAGTCCAGCCAGAATCGACTCCTGGCACGGATCCGAGGAGGGGCCAGGAGCAGGGACCAGAACAGGGTCCCTACCATGAGGGGGGGTAGGAACTGGAAACTCCCCTCCCACCAAAATATCTTGAAATGGTGCCATTGAGGGAGAATGTGATGGGTAGAAGGCTGGGAAGGAAAAGGGAGGGTTATACGGGGGGGGGGGGCGGGGAGGGGAAAGTGAAGGCAGGGGACTGTAGGAAAGATGGAGAGAGAGGGCCAGTGAGGCAGTTGCTAGGGATGGGTATAGCAATGGATGGCAGGGCAGCCTCCCCTCACCCCCACCACGGGGCTAGGGGGCAGTGGCTGCCCCGCAAGGTGAAGGAATGAGAAGGTATCAAAGAACCGCGCGAGTGAAAAATCTCATGATTTGGTGGAGTCCTCACGCTTGAGTTTTGAATGCTCAGGGCTGGTGACACAGCAGACATAAACGCATACATACACACACCAGCACATGTGTGCACCCATACACGTGCGTATACACACACACCCCCACACCCCCGTGCATGCGTGTATCAGCTCTCTGTAGTGCATTTACAAATGAAAATACAGCCTGGCCCAATAACCGGGGGCGGAGGGCATGGAAAACACGCGCCCGCCCAGACCTGAGGAAAAAGGATCGAAGCTAGCGCTGAGCCTTTCTTTGCCCTCTGCGGCTGCATCAGTCCCTGACCCCAATGTGCTACTAGCCCAGCCGGTTCTGGTTGCCAGGGGCCGTGGTGGGGAGATGCTGGGCACAGCCGCCCCTGCTCCCTGTATGAGACATTGCACATTGGCGCCTCTGGGCTGCCTGCCTTATGGAGTCTCCTAAACAAAGGAGGGATGTGTGTGACGGGACGGGGGTGAGGGGGTGTCATCAGGCAGGCAGCTAGGGGTGGCGGGATGGGCTGGAGATATCTGCAGGGTCAGTGGTGGGGAGAGACCCGGGTGGGTCCCTGACAGACCCCAAAAGCCAGAGCCGGCTAGTCGGGTCTGTACGAAGTGTAGCCGTAAGGGTCATTGTCACCCTTCAGCACCTAGAAACCTTACCGTCCCGCCTTTGATTTGTGCAGGGGGGTGCAGCACCCCTCTGCCCTCGTGTGATGGGGCTGCAAATCGGGTCGTTACATGATGTCTTTTAAGGAGAAAAGTCATACTGGAGACAGGCGCCAGGCTCACCGCACGGGCGGGATGGCTCGGCGTGTCTGGTTAGTCACAGACCAGGGCCAGCAGCAGGCCCAGTGCCACACGTGTGAGTGAGCGAGCGAGAGGAACTGCTGGAGGTCTGATGAGGCCTGGGCCAGAGCAAGCCAAAGGGAATGTGCTTCACGGGTCAACCCTGAGAGATGTCCTCCTCCCTGCAGCCCAAAGGAGCAGGAGGGACAAAGCCAGCTGCAGCTCCCCTCCACCCTGCTGCACCAAGGGGCACCACCCTGCCCCAGCGCGGGACGGGGACGGACATGCATCCTGCTGGATGGTGGTGGTGGTGGGGGCGCGTGGGCTTCAGGGGAGCCAGCGGGGCCTGGTCACTGCTCAATGCCACCTTGGAACTAGTGTCCATGGGTCTGGACATGCAGCTGGGTTACAACGACACACCACCCCCACCCGGTGGCAGAGAGTCAGAACTGCAGCCTCCCACTCGCATCCTGGGGAAACTTAAAAACTCGGGCTGCTGTTTGGTCTTTGTGTCTGGCGATGTCTTGGTCTTGTCTGTTCAGGCGTGGCTGCCGGAAGGGCGGCGTCCTGCGGCCCAAACAAGGTGACTCCCATACAGCGATCACACAGCATGAACAGGTGGTGCGGTTTGACGCCCACCCACGGGCGGTAGAGCTGGAGGGATAAGTCTGGTTTGCAGCCCACGCTCCCCCGCCCAAAAGCTGTGTAAAGACCAGACCTCCTTCACAGCAACTGGGTCCTTGGAAAGGCGAGATTATTCCCTGGATGTGTGCAGTGTGACTTAGTCTGTTTTTAACGGCACTTTCAATGAGGACTCACCCTTTTGGATCTAGAATATGCTCTTGCTTGGGCGTCCTCCCTGAGCTGGGCTGCATCTGCAAACCATGGCAGGACGTGCTGCTCCTGTAGCCCATAAGGCAGCGTTCCCATGGCTGCACGTGTGCAGTTAGTGGCTTGCCTCAGTGTCGCATGCTCCGTATAGTCAGGGCGTTGGGCTGGGGCTGTGGGTGGGCATGTGACCCCACAAAACTCTGCCTAACTCACTTAGATAAGGCACAGTCTTGCCTCACTCTCTGTGCTGCTCTAATGGACGCCATGTGTTGCAGCTGCTTCATTAGCGTGTGCGACACCCCTGGCGCAAGAGTCCACGAGTTCTATTCCCCGTGCTGTGCGGACCGCCAGCGCACCTCTGTGCATCCGGCCTGGGATTGTTTGTTAGTGCCTGGCAGCATTTCCTGTGTGGGAAACACAAGGCCTTTAGTCCCTTCCGTGTGTGGCCAGACCCATTGACCTTTGGTGACACTGGCCTGATACGCTGCCCTGTTTTTCATCCCGTTCGGATAAGGCGTCTCTCCTCAGCCTCCTCACTGGAGTAATTTAAAACTAGCCTGACCCAAGCACTGGAGAACATTCCTGCACTCCCACCAGTTCCCTTGGCCTCAGCCACAGGCACAGAACCCCTGGGCTCTGCTCTAAGCCCTGCCACAGACTTAGGCACAGCGTGGCTAACGGAGCTAGCCAGAGTTTCTCCTTTGGGAAACGGGGGCGCGTGATTCTGCCCGTCCTTACCAGAGGATTTGGTCGTTGCAGTTTGTGGAGGGCTGTGGAGATATAACGACTCAGGGGGCCTTATCAGGATGTGCGGAGATTGTTATGAAGCGCTGCCTAAGGGCCCGACGTGGCACAGCCATGAATGAAAAGCCCCTCCCCGCCCGCCCACCTTTGGTGGGAGGTCAATATTTCCTGCCTACTTTACAAATGGGGAAAGTAGGGCACAGAGCCATCAAAGGTCAAACTTGACTGCTTCAAGTTAGGCATCCAAGTGGAAAGCCGGCCACTGCGTTAAGTGCCTAACGTGAGGACCCTAAGTTGGAACATTTTGGCCTGTGGGAGGCGCCCAGCAAGCCGGCGGGAGAGTCAGGCATCATGCCCTGGTCACATGTGGGGTATGAGGGAGCGGTGCTGCCCTCTCGTGAAAGGCTATTGCCTCTGCTAAAACACGGCCACAGACTGCAAGGGCTATCGTCCAGGGAGAGAGGCATGTGGGTTTGGGATGTGTGCTCACTCTAGTAAGCAGCCAACCCATTCTCCCCAGCAGGACGGCCTTCCGCTCATCGGGAAATGGACCGGTTACCAAACTAACCAGGAATCAGCCTCGTGAGAGCGTTTAGCAACGTCCAGCGGTGTCATAGGAACTGCCAGCATGGAGCAGACCCGAGGTGCTCCGCATCCTGTCTTTGACAGCAGCCACTAAGGAAAGCTTCAGAGGAAGACGTGGGAACCCCGGCAACTACGGGAGGAATGGCCTGGCCTACCCCCTTAAATAGTTAGACTGGCTAAAGCCTGAAGCGTGGAGCTTTATCAGCTCCTCTCATCCTTTACCGCAGTGACGCTGCTTCCAAGCCATTGTAGCACGCTCTGTTCATGCTCAGCCCCCCCTCCCCGCTGCAGACATCCACCAGGGCGTAGACCCACGCTAACTGAATGCATAACTTTATTAAATAAATGCTTTGCCATGAGAAAAGACAAAGATCAAAGAGTAACATAAATTATACGTGGAATAAATAGTATACAGCAATCTTCACTTTTTAATAAAACGTGAGATTTGTTTTTAAAAGTACAAAACAGAGCATTAAGCTCCTCATCTGTCGTCCGTTTTTCACAAACTGTCTTTTTTTTTTTTTCCCCACCAGTACGATTATCTATATGTCTCTTTACTGGAAAAACAATAACAAAACAAAACAAAAAAAACAGAGCTACTGTATGTATGTAAAGCTATAAAAAGCTACCGTAAAATGTGTAGTGAGTATTGCTTAAAGATTAAAAACCAGGCAGGAATCTCGGAATCTGGTGTGTTAACAACTGTACTATAATGGTAGATAACTGCATTGTGGACGGGCTGTACCAAGGCCAGCGGGGCGGGGGGGCAAGAGGCAGTGCAGTGCACTGCACTGAACGACGAGCCAAGGTGCTGGTATGGGGAGGGCTGGAATCAAGGGGAATTGTCGCTTGTTTAAATAGACACACTCCATTAGGGAAAAAAACAACCGAAAGAGAGAGTGGAAAATAGTGCAAAAATGCTCTTGTACTAGTGGTTTTAAAGTAAGACTGCCTGCTGCAGCCCGGCCGTGGAGGAGAGGAATTGTTTGAAAGCAAGGCAAGGGCATGGTGGTGAGGAATCTGAACCCTATTAGATCCCCTTTTGCTTCCCCCGCCCGCTTGTTTCATTGGCACAGAGTCAGGCTAGAACAACACCGAAAGGTGAAATGTGCCTCCGAGCTCCCCGGGGATTAAGCTGTTACTGGCGGGAGTCTTCCCGTCTGGGTTTGCTTGACCCACTATTAAAAAAACCCAAACCGCTCCCCCAAAGCAAGCTCCTTTCCTGGGGCAGGGTGGGAGGGTCACCATTTCCCGGGACGAGGCACGATCCCGCTTAGCAAATCTTAGTGCAGTTTTCAAACAGTCACGGCCCCTGGGGAGTACTGACAGCCCTTCTGTGCAGCCGGGCGTCCTCCTCTCTCCGGACTCAGCCCCGGGCCCCTCCAAAGGGGACCACGCAGCTGTGAGCAATGATGGCAGAGACCCACAGTTCTGTGGGGGCGAAGCACCTGAGGGGCTGTGTCTCCACTGGGTTCCCAGTCCCTGGGCTGGCCCACTCAGGCTCTCGTTGTGGGGGAAGGGATCCCTATGCTGCTCCATAGTGGGGGGGGGGGGGACGACAGTCACTGTGTGCTTGCTGGGGAACCGGGGAGCAGAAGGCCTTGGGACAGCCTGAATCTGCCCCAGCCTCAATCCCCTTTCCAGGCCCTCAATGAGTGACGGCAGGCTGCAGAATGCGGGCCGATGGGCAGCTTTAATGCTTCGGGGGTGGGGGGTGGGGGGCGCTGGGATCCCACTGGCAGCCGTAACACGGGGCAATGGCTGGCTGTGCCTCCCCCCAGGGCTGAGCTCACAGACACACAGGGGATCACTTCAGCGGGGGGAGGGGGAAACTGAGGCAGAAGAGTATTAGCTTTCGGCTAGGCTGCTGCCCCAGGCCCAGGCCTTCTCTAGTTCCCCCCCTTTCCCCACGTTGTGTACACTGGGGGGATCCCAATGGAGCCACAGAGACAGTCCTTTTCTCTCCCCCTCCACTGTAAACGCCACTGAGAGCACAGAAGTGAGGACCAAGTTCTCCCCCCGGTAAAAGCAATGGGAGCCGTGCTACTGACTGCAATGGCTTGGGCCTTGACCCTGGGGTAGCCGAGAGTCAAATTTAGACTCACCTTTGCCCCATCAACTTTTCAATAAAAGGTCTCAGGGTGCGAGCTATAAGAAACAGTTAGGAGGTGACACCTCCCTACCCTGCCTCCCCCCCCCCCCCCAGCCAGTAGCTGCCATCCGTAGCTGAGTGCAGACACGGCGAGACCGCAGCCTGGCCCTGCTTTCGCAGCTTTCAAGTTTCGGGGACTAAACCCACAGCAAGACAAACAAACAAGCAAGGGCGAGAGCGCGCAAGAAGGGAGGCAGGTGGGTACTGGCCTAAAAGAGTCAGGACTCGGGGTCACTTGGGGAGGGCGCGTGGCAGAGGGACTGGCCAAGCCAGGCTGATGGGGGCACTGCCTCCCCATGCGAGAGCTTTGCTAGCGCCGTACGTCCTCCTTTGGGGTGTACATGGCCCCTGTGCTCTCTTCTCTGCCAGCTACCCCATTCTCCAAGGCTGTGGCTCGCCTCTAATGCACACAGTGACCTCCGGAGCAAGGTGGGATCACCCCGGGTCTGCTCCTGGGGGCGGGGAGCAGAGCCGGACCAGGATATAGGGGTGACTTTGGCGTTGGTGGACTGGGTCAGTCCATTGGAAATGGAAAGATGTTTGCCAAACGCCTTTGAACGTTGACCTGTTTGGGCTCCCCAGCCGGACTCGGCCGCAGCAGTGTGTGCTCATCTGTCCCTTCAAGTAGCCCAGAGCTTCCAGGACAAGCTGGAGAGATGGCCAGGGCTGCTGGGTGGCCGGGTTTTGATGCTTCCTGGGGTGGGAGTGGGGGGTGGGTCCCAATGGATGTGCTATCCGTGGCCATGCGTGGAATAAATCCAGGCCTCCTGTAACTCCACTGAGTACCCTGGGGGTGGCCCTGCATTCCCCGCACGCATTTGGCTGGCAGGGGAAGGGAAAAGTGTCGTGAGCTTTCTGCACCTCCCTGCGCTAGAGCTAGGGCTGGTGTGTGTGTGTGTGTGGAGGGGAGTCCATGGACTGTCCTGAGAACCAGGCCGTGGGTGGGCAGAGAGGGGACACATCTCACATGGCGAGACCCACGGACCTGCGCAGCCAGCCTTGCCCTGGGAAATGGCGCCACCTGGTGATAGGAGAAAGGCGTTTGAGGCGGTTTCCGCTCTCAAATCACTGCTAGTTTCTCAGCCTGAGTCTCCGCTTCCCTCGCTAGGCCTGTTCTGTGGGCCTGGTTCCCGGTTACACCGCGGCCCCTTTGCACAATGCTAGGCGCTGTGTCTCCGGCTGGCCTGGGAGGAAGGGTGGCCAGAGCACACTGCACTAGGGCCAGAGCATAAGCCAGAGCAGCCCTGAGGCTGCCCTACCTGACCCTGGGGGCTGCCCAGCCCCAGAATACAAGGCGCCCTCTGCCCTGAGCACGTGCCTGGGGAACTGAGAATCAGGCTCTGTGAGCACGGCCTGCTCTGGTGTTGGGAGCCCGGCGGCACAGCACAGACAGGGGACGCTGGCACACACAGACTCCCTGCCAGTCTCCCGTGGGGCAAAACCCTCTGCTCCGCTCAGCAAAACCAGTGGGGTAACCCCTCCCCCCCACCACTGCCCGAAGCCCGGCGGGGGCGGGAGGCACTGCCCAGCCCCCGCAGCGCCAGGCTCATGCTCCTCTGGGAAGGTCGAGGAAGAAACCCCACAAGTCCCGGTCACGCAGTGGCCAGTCTAGCTCGGGAAGATTCCTTGGTTCCCTTCGATCTGCGCTAGCATGTTGTGGGCGTCGCTCTGGCTTTTCTGAGGATCAGCCTGCAGCAGGGCCCGTCCCGGCTGGCACAGGGAAGAAACCGGCGCGCTCTTCGTATCTCTAATTAGCACGCTGCCTGGGCCAGTCGTAGCCTCTGCCAGGATGGGGTGGGGGCTAGTTCTTTCGGGGGGCGCGTCCGCACACTCAGCAACGTAGCAATGGGTAGCGACAGCTTGAGCACCGGTAGTTCGCCAAAGCAGGGAGTCAGCCAAACGCCCCGTCCTCTTTGCTGCGGAGTCTCGTTGGGAGCGACCTTAACAAAGACCCTTGTCGTGGGGAAAGTGGGGGGGGGGGGAAAAACGGTCCCAAGAGTTAAAAAATACACAAGTCCAAAGGCTGCAGCGATCTGGACACGCCTGAAGATGCCGCTTGAGTTGGTCAGATCAGTGGCTTCCGTGGTGTGAGTAACAACAGCCGAGGAGCTGGCCAAACAGTCCTGGCCAAGTTACGGCACCAATCCCGCAATAAACTCTGCCGGGGCCTAGGTGTCTATGGAGCTCATTGCAGGGGGAGAGACTTGACATTGGTATTTTACCATTGCAACAGAAGAAGAGAGAGGTTTGCATTTGGGCAAATGATTCTTTTGATGGGCAAGGACAATATCATTCATTTTTCCCATCATGGCAGAGGGTGGTAAAGATTTTTGAGCCCGATCCCACAGCCATTTAAGCACAGCTGTCTGTGGGACTGCACCGGTGAGTAAAGTTAGACACATGCTAAATTGTTTGCAGGATTGTGTGTGTGTGGTGGGGGGCCTTCTGCCTGAATTTGGACGCTGATTTTCCAAACCCTTGACCTCGTGCAGGATTTTAAGCATGGGAAAAGGCCCATTCATGTCTACAGGACATAAGAACGGCCAGACTGGGTCAGACCAAAGGTCCATCTAGCCCAGTATCCTGTCTTCCGACAGCGGCCAATGCCAGGACTTCTCATGTGCGTAAAGTTAAGCACATGTGACTGCAGGATTGGAGCCAGTTTTGCAAGGCGGAAATAGAGCCGCAGGTACACACACAACATAAATTGCCACACACCGATGGCCAACAACATTTCAACTGATTTCACTTGACAGGAAATAAGATTCCTGACACTGCTCAGGGACAACGACCCCGACGGAGCTGAAAGGTGATTGGTTATCTTTTGGCTGTTGCTTTTTTTTTTTTTTTTAAAAGGAGCCACCACTATCTTTTGCCAGCAGGAGCTGTTATCCCCTGACTCGTTTCCTAAAGAAATGCAAACCCGTTTACAACAATGTTCCAGACCCCGAACGCCCAGAAAGCTGTGCATCTATCTCTACGGAGATATCAATCAAAGGGCGTTGGGCGCCAGTGGAGGATCAATATTAGCTCTGGCAGTGCCGAACAAGCCACTCCAACGCAAGGGCTGAGCGGTGGACGTGGGCCTCATCGTGGGGCTTTGTCTGGTTTCGCTGGAGACCGTTTAGAAAGTTGCTGGCTAGTCTAAAAACCAAAACAAACAAAAAAAGACACCCCACCCCCCCGTATCAACAAACCAAACCAAACCCACAATAGAAAAGCCCCCAAGTCGATGCCTACTTTGCCGCTGGCCGTGTCCCTGCATGGGGAGTCGAGAGCATTTGGGGGAGTCTGTACTGGGAAGGCGGCGCCGGTTTGACTTCTGCTTTCCTCTTCTCCTTTAGCCGCCGCCGCCACGCAGGCGAGGACGGGCTGCAGATTCCGAGGTCCTCAGTTTCTTCCGTTTTTCGAAATGAGATGAAAGGGTTCGGAGTCCCGGGGCGTGGGGAGGCGTGGGGGCAGGGGGGCGGGGGGACGGCGCAGGCCCTTCACTCGGTGACGCCGCTGTCGAAGCTGTGACACTGCAGGTCGCCCGCCACGTAATTGGTCCCCGGCAGCTTCAGTCCATACTTGTCCACGCACCAGCACAGCCCGCGCTTCCGCCCCCGGGACGGTTTGCACTGGGGAGGCGAGGAGAGACGCAAAGGGAGGTCAGTGGCGGGCGCGTCACGGGGAAGTAACGGCGCAGGGGGCAGAGCCCAGGGCTCAGTGCCGGGAACAAGACGCAGCCGCCACTTCTAATGGGGGCGCGACCTGGCAAAGGCTAGCCCCATGGCTCAGGCGCTGTGCAGGACTCAGGAGAGAGCAGGGTTCGGTTCCTGGCTCTGTGCGACCTTGGGCAAGTCAGCTCAACTCTCTGGGCCTCAGTTCCCACTCTGTGAAATGGGATCAGGAATCCGTCCTTTCTCCTACCCTTTGCCTGGCTTCTCTGGGTGGACCATGCGCTCTGTCTCGTGTTCTCAGTGTGCAGTATGCTAGCAGAATGGACCCTCAGCCCCCCTGATTCCCAAAGCCAGGGCCTCCGGGTGCTACTGCTAACAAATGGTTCAGGGAAGATGCAGCTTCCTGCTAGCTGCTGCATGGCGTGCCTCATGACACTTGACTTGATAGACCTCCCAGGAGGGTGGGTAATAAGACAGCCCACCACTAACACGACCAGAGGAACCCTGCAGGGCGCGTCTAAGGCACAGCCCTGTGGGAGAGATCCGACGAATGGACGGCCCGGTTTGTGCACACGCCTGGTGAGCCCCGGAACCCACGCCCTGGTCGCCGTTTTACATCTCAGCTGAAAGAGGGCAGCCCGAGTGGCCTGACAGCAGTGTTGCTTAGTGGCTAGTCTGCCAGGCTGGGGCTCTGGGTCAGGTTCCGTTCCTGGCAGTCACGTCACCACTCTACCCTCATTTTACAGATGGGGAAACCGAGGCACGACGCTACCGCTCTGCTTGGTGAAGTGCTTTGGGAGCTAAGGACGGGAAGTGCTGTGTAAGAGCATTAATGTCCCCGCGCACTATATTGGTTCGACACGGAGCTGGGGGGGGGAAGAGCAGCCTTGTCGTGGGGAGGGCCATGTCGATTTCCCCTGGGGGAGCTCACCTGTTTCCTCTTGTAGAATCCCTTCCGGTCGCAGTTGGGAAGGTGAACAGCTCGGGGGATCATCCGTTCGCTGGTTTTGATCTCCTGCAGCGAGGCCTCCATCTGCCTGCGGCAAGGGCCCTGCCAGAGGAGCGAGAGGATCAGCGAGAGCCCAGCAAGCCCTGGCCCGATCACCAACCGAGAGCCAGGAATCCCGCACGCCCCATGAGTCAGTGACCCGCTGGGCTCCTGGAAGGGATGGATTTCCCCAGCGCGAGGGTAGGAGAGAGCAGGGCAAAGCCCCATCTCCTGCGTGGCAATACGGCCCCCCACTGGGCAACCGTGCCCGTCTCTCTCAGCACCTGCTGCTGGGCGCGCTAGGGGGCAGGCGAGGGGAAGCCAGCACTCACCAGCTCGAACTCTTGCCTCAGCTCAGGGACGGCGACCCGGGGATGCGCCGTATTCTCCGCCCCGCCGACGAACTTCGACAAGGTCAGCTTCTTCCTGCGGTCCTTCTTCAGGGCCTCGGCCTTGAGCTCGGAGAGGCGCCCGTGCTTGGTCCGGATCACCTTGGGCGAGTAGGTCTCCTCCGCCATCTCCGAGGTGGTCGGCTCCTCGTGCTCGCGGGATTCCCGCTCTGGAGAAGGAAGGGACAAAGCAGAGCGACTTCTCCGTGAGCTGCCCATGGAACCTGAGTGCCCGGCGCCTTCCCAGCATGCACAGGGGGAGGGCCGACTAACCCAATGAGAGCCATGCCAAGTACTGCAGCGCCTTGGGCACCATCTGCCCATAAAGGAGAGACCCTTCCTTCCGGCGCGATTCCCCATGAGGGCACCCCCCTGTGACTCTCACAAGACTCAATCGCATTGGATCCGGGAGTGGTCCCTATAGACACACACCACCAGGCCGCGGTGTATCGTTACATTGAACCAAGAGAGGCACAGGCACGTTACCGAATGCACACACTCTGCCTGTCACATACATGCACAGACAGACGCTGGGACGCGCAGGAGACGGGGACAACGTCTGTAGGTTTCTGCACAGTGCCTGAATCGGCTTCAGGCTGGGCGGACAAGCCATCGTCTCTTTGGGGCGTGGGGCTCAGAGGGCCAACCCCACTGTGGAGGAGATGGTGGTAGGGATGGCCTGCTTCTCTCCTGCTGGCTTTCATTTGCCCCCGGGGGCAAAATCACCACAGGGTTTGGCAGGCTTCGCTCGAGACAGCAGGTCAGGTCAGGTCTGGGGGCAGCTGCCAGGGAGATATAGGGCTCGGGAGGGGAGTTTTAGCAGAGCTGGAAGGTTCCTTTTAGGTAGCTGAACGCAGGGTCCACCCTAAAACCTTGTGTGTATCATTGCTGGTGCAGAATGGGTGTCACGGTCCAACCCAAGGGGACTGCATGTTGCGGTGGCTAAGTCACCCCCGTAGAGTGTATATCTAGTCTCTGCAGTGCTGGGGGATCCTTCTGGATGAGTTATTATTGGTATGATCAGTCTCAAGCTCTCTCTCTCTCTCTCTCTGTGTGTGTCTAAGTCATCTGCCTAAGTCATCTGCCGTTTCATCCATTGTAGTTACCCCCATATAGGCTGGGAGCCCTTCTGAACACTTTGCTCCCAGGCAATATGATTTTAACAGCTGGGATGTCAGCAGGGCTCCCGAGTGCTTATATATAGGAGTGAGCCGGTGACAGCCTATACTTAGCTGACTTGTGACCTTTAATACAGCCACTGGAGTGAAAGAGGGTTATTTCTGGGTCTAGCTGTGAATATAGCTCTCCCCTCCAGAGACAGTGGAACCCGGGGCCATATTCCCACCAGGCCTGTTCTATTGTAGGGGCCCCTCTGGCAGAGGCAACAGAAAGAGACGGCAAATGCACAACACTGGGGCAGGGGACAACAGGGGGAAGGATGGAACAGAATTGTTCTGCCTCACACAGCCAGGAATACAAATATCAACCTACTTAGATGCTCTCGTGATGGTGTGGGGGGGGGATATGACTCGAATTTGGTCACAATGAACCCAACATGTGCAAAGGATGATCCTCGTGCAAGGAATAAGCCTGCAGATGATCTTGGGGCAGACGGGACGCCAGCCCCACAGCAGACTATTCTGTGACAAGCAGAGACACTCATCGACCTAAAGAAAATTATTTTCTGACCTAGCCCAGGTGCAGGCTAGGAAAAAGCCAACAAGGGATTTTCACCAGGACCTAATGCAGCCACCTCTGGGGTGGAACATTGTGTTTAACAGCACACGGCAACACCATATAGGATAGGAGGGGAAGTTTCAAGGGAGGCAGAATGTAATGGGAGTTATGTTATATTTCAGAGTGTCATTCACAGGCCCTCGGGAGTCTGTCAAGCCAGAGAGCAATAAATAACGGTCCAGCAATCGCTGACCTGGGTACTTGCACTTACAGAAAGGAAGCATTTCTCCTGCTGATCAGCAGGTGGCAGCCCATGCCTTTAGTTCGCACTTTAACGCAAGGCAAAACCCTGCGAAATCATCACAGGGGGTTTCGTAAGGGCGGGAGGGTCTCAGTATTGGTGTGCTGGAGGGTGGCAGCTCAGCCCCTGTGCTCCCTACAGCTGTCAGTCCAGGCCCCCCGCACCCACACCACAATTTCAATCAACGCCAAGTCGAACTTCTCCTCTCCCAGCTCTGAGAAAACCCAAATACACTACTTGGCAAAGTCAAGCGTCCCAGCCTAGCAGCTACTCACATGAGTTATCCAAAGCCGTGCAATGAACCTGATCTCTGCTGGGCAAATCCTATTACAGCCTCTCAGGATCGTACTCAAACCCGCTGGGTTCAGCAGAGCCTGATGTACCTTAGAATCATAGAAGATTAGGGTTGGAAGGACCTCAGGAGGTCATCTAGTCCAACCCCCTGCTCAAAGCAGGACCAATCTCCAACTAAATCATCCCAGCCAGGGCTTTGTCAAGCCAGGCCTTCAAAACCTTTAAGGAAGGAGACTCCACCACCTCCCTAGGTAACCCATTCCAGTGCTTCACCACCCTTCTAGTGAAAAAGTTTTTCCTAATATCCAACCTAGACCTCCCCCACTGCAACTTGAGACCATTACTCCTTCTTCAGTACTGAAAGGGTTCCCATCATCCCTGCATCTAACACCTCACAACACCTACGAGGCAGGGCAGTGTTGTTATGTCCATTGTACAGATGGGGGAACCGAGGCACAGAAATCTGCCCACGCTCACACAGGAAGTCTCTGGCAGAACAGGGAATTGACGCAAAGTCTTCCAAGTCCCAGATTTGCACCCTAACCACCAAGCCATCCTCCCTTTCTCTCATCTTGTGAGGCCCAAGGCTTATCTGTGCACTCAGGTTTTCTCAGGTGCAGACGGTGTGTATTTTAGGGCTCACTTTGTTTGTTGGAGGAAACAAATGTATTGATTAAATAAAACATGAGAAGATCAGGCCTGGAAGAATGGGAAACAGGAGCCGGTCAGTTGCATGGTCTGTGTCTTGTCAGTCACAATGACCAGACAGCAGCCACTAGTGCAAGGTGTTGGGGCAGTTTTACACTGAAGTCTTCTCATTCACCGGATCATTGAAATGAATACCCTCTGCTGCCAAGCTGTATTAACCATACCTACACCCTGGGCCTAAATGAGTGACGTCCCTTTATATAAAGTGACTCCCCTCGCCAGGCCAACTGAAAAGCCGGGCAGAAAAGCAGCATGTACCATAGCATAACACTTCCGTCTTCAACCTCCAGCCACCCCCACTGACTGCACTAGGCATTGGATCGGGCCCACAGACCACAGAACATCAGCCTGGGAAGGCAGGTAAGAAGCGAGGCGGTACAGCGCCAGATCCACTTGGTGCAGCATCCTACCTCTGGCAGTGCCCAAGCCCTGATACTCCAGAGGAAGGAAGAAACCCCCCCACAATGCCCCTGGCCAATGGTGCTGTACTACTCCACGGAAGGAAACATTCTTTTCGAAAACCCAGCTGGTGTTTGGATTACGCCCTGAAGAATGGGGCTTGACGGCCCTGGTCGTTTTTAGCCCAGCTCGCGTCAGTGCAGAAGCTAGTCTCATTCACCTGGGTCAGGCCACCGGACGAGGCAGAGCCGGCAGCAGAACATAGGGCAGCAGCTGGGAGTCAGGCATGAGCACCGCAGCTCTCATTACATCTCCCAGGAATGCTTTTGAAGAGCATTACTGCCCTCACCGTTCTCGGTCTTCCAGTCACCAGCTGCATCAGCATCGTCGGCTTTAAAAACTTCTTTTGGACATTGGGCCCAGGCACTGGTGCTCTGCTCCTGCTGGAATAATGTGTGAGCGCCAAGATCCCACGCCCACTGAATACTCAGCTAGAATAGTGGGGTATAAGCTCGGGGGGGCGGGGGGGGAGCCAGCTGAAAACTAACATCTCTCTCCTGGTAGGCAGCTGTTTTTAGAATGAATAGTTCAGATTGAATTTTTCCTTTAAAAACATATAACCCTAATAAATAACCCTACAATAACAAAGCAGGGTGTACAGCCTGACATTCCTGTGCAACCCTACAATAACAAACCAGGGTATGCAGCCTGACATTCCTGTGCAACCCTACAATAACAAACCAGGGTATGCAGCCTGGCATTCTGTGCAACCCTACAATAACAAAGCAGGGTGTGCAGCCTGGCATTCTGTGCAACCCTACAATAACAAAGCAGGGTATGCAGCCTGGCATTCTGTGCAACCCTACAATAACAAACCAGGGTATGCAGCCTGGCATTCTGTGCAACCCTACAATAACAAACCAGGGTATGCAGCCTGGCATTCTGTGCCACCCTACAATAACAAACCCGGGTATGCAGCCTGGCATTCTGTGCCACCCTACAATAACAAACCCGGGTATGCAGCCTGACATTCCTGTGCAACCCTACAATAACAAACCAGGGTATGCAGCCTGACATTCCTGTGCAACCCTACAATAACAAACCAGGGTATGCAGCCTGACATTCCTGTGCAACCCTACAATAACAAACCCGGATGTGCAGCCCAGCACTCAGGTCAGCTACAGAGATAATCATGAACTGGAAGCCTGGGTCCTGGATCTTCCCAAACTCTGCCCTGTGGATTTTGGTTTTGGCGGGATCTGGTGGCCACTCAAGAAAATGTCCTGGTCCAGCTTGAATGCAGCATTCCTCTCTTTTCTGCAGGGGCGGCTAGTGGCACAGGTATGACCAGAGAGAAGCCATATAATAAGGACGCCAACAGAGCACTTTGTTTCTGCTTGCCGTAATTTTGCAAACCTGGAATTTATCTGCAAGCCAGAATCATGAGTAGTGAGTGGATGGCCCAGTTCTGATCCCTTTTGGGAGGTCGGAGGGAGATGGAAGATGTGTGAGCAGACACCCTGTAAAGGGAATGGATTTGAGGGGTGCGTGGCTGGGGGGCTGGTATATCCCAAACTGATTTACACTTGTCTAGCTCCTGATACCCCTAGAGTTGTTTTTCCGTATTCGCCAGAGCATTATCTTGCTCCGATCAACACCCTGGTGTCCTCTGATCCCCACTGCACCCGAAGCTGGGTCTCAAACGGTCACTGTGATGATAAGCCTACTCCTCGGTTAACCTCGCCTTCCTATTGCCCCCCGGACATGGTTTAGTTTGTGCAAAACCACAGC